AATCTTGGGACAAACTTAGCACCTGCCTCTCTCTCTGTCTGGACGTTATGGGGGGAATCTGGCAGCATGGGGCCTTCTTGGGAGGCCACTGGTCCAGCTGCAGTCCTGTGGCTTCTGGATTGCCACAATAGAGGTCTCTGCCTCAGAGAGAGTGGCCCCGTGTGGCCAGCAGGGCCAGTCGACTTCAGCCAACTTGAAAAACAAAATTTGGCATATTCCTGTGGGCCAGCTCCCCTCACAGGCTTGTGACCATCCATAAGCTCCCAGGGGACCAGCAGATGCTGAGGTCATCTTCTTTTGCCACCCATGGGCAGATCGGCCATGGCAACTGGAACATGAATGTCATCTAAAACCTCTTTGGGGGATTGGCTTTCTAGCCTGTTGAACTAAAAATATGAAAAACACTGCCATTCGTTGGGCCCAGTAGGTTAGTTCATTTAATCCTCACAGAAAACACATGATGGAGTGAATTCAATGCCCCATTTATGGAGGAGAAGGCAGCCCAGGCTGTTCCTTGCTTGAGTAGGCCACCTGGCTCATGGGCAGTAGAGACCCAAGGTGTAACAGACGCCCCAGCTGACTTTGTGTCATACCTCACTTCCCCCCTGACCCCCTCACTCTCAGTACTGGATGGAAGGTGCACTCCCTTCTTTAAGAAAGAGAAGGCTGGTGCAGAGATGGGGGAAGGGGCTGTGAACGTGAGACGCTGCAGACCCAGCCCAGCACAGAAGCTCAGCACGTACTTATGGCTCTGGGTCCCTGAGAAGCCCTCTCTGCTCTCTGAAGCTGGACAGGTCTCCATGAAGCCACTAGACCCAGGCTTCCTGTTGAGCTGCACCATGGAAGTGTCAGAAGGAAGGGAAGAGGGAGGAGGAGGAAGAACTCCATCCCCAGGCTCTCCTGCTCTCATCAGTGCTGTTCTAGCAACATCAGCAAACTGCCCATCTTCACCTTCTTTTCCGTTCCTGGATTTAGTCTTCCCAGCCACTGGGCAGCCCTCCTCAGGGCTTTGCCCTCTGGATTCTCCGCACTGCCCCGCCTCCACTTCCTTCCATCCTCTGGGCCCCCCAGTGGTGGCTGAAGTTGTGTCCCATCGTTCCCTGTGGTATCCACGTGTTCTCCGGTTCTTCACATTCAATCCTCTCTGTCTAAGACACCTAGGGTGGTTTCTGTTTTCTCTTTTGAACCCTGAGAGATGCTTTTGTTGAATAATAGGGGTCTGGAGGAGCAGAGAAAGGTCCATTTGGTCCCCTCAAGGAGCTCACAGGTAACTGGAAGCCTGGAGCTAAACTCGAATTATAAGTGGGAACACTCAACAGAGAGGTGACCAAGTTCAGTGGGACAGTACCCTCGTGCCCAGAGCCACCTGAGCGCGGGGCTGGATTTGGTGGGTGAAAGATGATGAGGATTTCACTGAGAAAGGAGAAGTAGCATGGGTTCTCACAGTGCCCCCAAACAACTTATCATGGGTGACAGCTTCTGAACAGCACCCTTAAACCAAATGTTGGTATGAGATTAAATACATATCAATCTCGAAATAAATAGCTTGCAGGTAAACGCTAATGTGTCAGCCGGGCACATGTGTCAGCCAGGAACTGTGTTTGGCATGACATGGGCTGATTCATGCCGTTCTTACTGGCCTGACTCTGTCTTATTTTTATTTATTATTTATTTTTTCTCTGCTAGGGATGGGACTCAGGGCCTCATTCATGCTAGACAAGCACAACGCTACTGAGCCACATCCTCACTGCTACATCTTTTTTAGAGAAGACAAAATTGAAGACTAAGCAACTGCAATGCCTTGTCTAGAGGGTGCCCAGAGATCTCACCCAAGGGCCTGGCCTCCAGAGGACACGATGCCATCTGCACTTACCAGAGTGGGTTGTTATCAGAGGACCTTGGTACAGATTCTCTCATCAGGCCAACAGTCAATTTCACTTCATCTGTGTGAGACTTGCGCACCTCCCTAGAGGAACACAAATTCCAGTAGACTGTGGGGAGGTTCCCAGTTCAAATGGATTATCGCTATAGACTGGTTTTAATTCACAGGAATAATACTACAATGGCAATTAGGCCAGAACTCTACAATTTCACACCCAGAATCCCTGCCCTGAGCAGACACGAGCTGTAAGAGGTAGAGTCGGCTACATTGTCTCTGGGAGTCCCTGAACCATTGTGTGGACACCCCAAAGCTGTCAGGGCTCTAGCCCACTTTAATTTGCATGATGGCTGGCAAGGATTGGCTGTAGGCAACCCTGCCTTACATGCTTTGGTTTGTGGAGATCAGCCTTTCTGCTGCCCAAATGGTATTAAGTGAGGACCACAGTCCTGACAATGTGTTCATACATGCCCTTAAGATAAATGCCAGTCATCAAGTGAGCATGATAGGACTCAGTAGGGAGAAGACAGCCTTCAGTCTGCTATGGTTAGTGTATGAGTTTCCTGCTGCTGCTGTAACAAGTCATCACATAGGTAATGGCTGAAAACAATATAAATATATTCTGACAGTCATGACTTAGAGGTCAGAACTCCTATGTGAGTCATTAGAGAATAGGCCAAGGTGTCATCAGGGTCTTGGAACAAATCCATTCCTTGTCCCTTATAGAGAATGCTCTTGTGGCCACATCTCCCTGCTTCTGCTGTCTCAGTACCTTCTGCTGCCTTTGTTATAAGGGCCTTGGGATGACACTGGGCCCTCCCGGATAGTCTAGAATCATCTGTCCCTTCTCAATATCCTTACCTTGATCACAGCTACAAAATCCCTTTTGCCATGTAGAGCAAAACCCATGGTCACAGGTTCTGGGTCAAGATGTGGACATTTAGGGGTGGGGTGAGGAGAGGGAGCTATTTAGCCCACAGTATGGTTAGTTTCTGTCTGGGGTTCTTTACTCCCTTGAGAAAACCCTAAATCCTGCTTCTTCGGGGTGTTTAGGGGCTTTGCCTCCTCTCCTGGGGTTGGGCTAGTTCCATAAGTCATGGTGTGGGGACGGTGATCTCTGGTTTTTCAGGACACCTGTACTCCCAGCCACATCACTCTGGCTGCATGCTTTCTCTCTGCCCAAGGATGCTCCATTGCTCTCTGAGTCACAGATCTGCCACTTCCAGCCATGGGGTCCCTGGCCCTGCATCTCCAGGTGCCTGGCTCCTCACCACCACTGCGCTTGGCTCCTCCTGGTAGACAAGGGCTTCCAAGTCAGGCACCAGGGGAGAGGTTCTCAGGCCCCTGTGCTCATTGCCTCATGCCCACTGGGGACTCCTGCTGCCCCTCACTCAACCCTGCAGCCCACAGGAGGAAGGCAGTGCATAGGATCCTGGACACATCAGGGACCTTCGTTAGTGTCTGCTCCTTTGCTCTCCTTCCCCTTCCTCTGTGGGTCGGTTTCTAGGGATGCCTTAGCAAAGAGTCACAAACTGGCAGCTCCAGTAACAGAAATCCATCTCCTCACTGTTGAGGAGGCTGGAAGTGCAAGGTCAAGGTTGGTAGGGTTGGTTTCCCCTGAGTGCTCTCTCCTGGCTTGCATCTGCCATCTTCTCTGTGTCCTCACATCATATGGATTGTGTGTCCTGATATACTCTTCTCATAAGGCACCAGTCACATTGCACCCATGTGACCTCATTTTATCTCAATTTCCATTTTAAAGGTGTTCTCTTTAAATGCAGTCATGTCATAAGGTCCTGTGATTGGGGACTTCCACACAAGCACACGGGGGGTGGGGGACAAATTCCAGCCCAGGGTATACGGAGAGCTTTTCTTCTCTCATTACTTTTTTTTTTTTTTTTTAATTCTGAGGTGAAGGCAAGAACTTGTCTCACCTGATCACACATCTTCCTAAATCTTTCTTCTGATTTCCTCCAGACCACAGCCTTTAAAATTCAAATGCTAAAGCTCTGATGTCTTAATTCTGTGGGTTACAATGACAGGTCTTCTGCAAAGAAGTGGGGCCAGGCCAAAGGCCAGAAGGAGGAGGCACGTACAGTGTGTGTGTGTGTGTGTGTGTGTGTGTGTGAGAGAGAGAGAGAGAGAGAGAGAGAGAGAGAGAGAGAGAGAAAGGGGGTACAGGAATGGGGTGTCAAATGGCTCTTGCAAATATTTTATTGCCAAATCAGCAACTTTCCACTCACTTGCCGCTCTGTGGAGCACCCGGTTGGTTCACATCCAGCATTTTCTAGCACCCAAGCCTCACAATAGCCTTGCACATTTGTATCTTGGCTCCTTTTCCATTGGATAAAACTGAGCTAAGAGGCAACTGTCCAGGGTCATCTCTATGTCCTGCATCTGGAGTGGCCCGAGATCTCATGTTGAAAGCATGGTCCCTAGGGCAGCAGTGTCCAGGGTTGGGGCTTTGGGAGGTGACAGGATCATGAGGGCTCTGCCCTTGTCTGAGGCCTGAGAGCTGGCTGGTCTGCTGGGAGGAAGTGGAGATGACAGGCCTGCTGGGCATGGTTGGAAGCAGTGGGGCACTAGGAGTGTGCCCCTGGGGACCCTATAGTGTCCCTTGCTCACTGTCTCTGCTTCCCCGCCCCCTGAAGTGACAGGTTTCCTCCCCCAGACCCCTCTGCCATGTTCTGCCTCACCTGGGCACAGAGCTCTGGAGTTGGCCAACCACGGGTTAAAAGCTCTTAACCCTAGAGCCAAAATAGATCTTTTCTCCTCTAAGTCATTGTCCCCAGACACCCGCAGGAGTGATGAGAAGCTGACTAATTCAGTCTCATACCTATGAAAGCAGAAACAGAATTCACTCTCATGTCTAGCTGACCACCCACTGTCCTGGTTATTTCTAGTTCCCTATCTCATGCACAATGACAATGACGGGTTAGGGATGGTGAATTGCCCAGACTTAGTTCCTTGTGCTCCTTAAACATTCACAGCAAAGGGCCAGTCCTTGTGAGAGCATGGAATTGTCCCTCAAGCTGTGCCACATGCCCTTGCTGCTGTGACATTTTCTCTCTTTCTGGATCCTATTAATTCTTGGAATAAGTCTCTTTGGTAGTATATGATTTCCACCCAAGGATGTGCAAACCCAGTGCCCTGATTCATCAGTGCAGGACAGTTCTCCACTATCTCAGGATAGAATGAAGAGACCAGTTAGAGTTAAGAGTTTCTTCCTGCAGTGGGAGCCTCAAAGTTTTAGGGACACCTCAGGGTGCAGTGGCAACTTGGCTGGCTCCTTCCACCCGTCCAGGGTGTGTCCCGGATGGCTGCTGTGGACAGTGGGCCAGGATCAAGATGCATTTTTGTGGTGAAGTCACGACCTCAGTCATTGGTTGTACTGGATCCTTTTTCGAATACACACACATACACACACTCACTCTCACATGCACGCACGTGTGCCCGCACTGTCTGCACTTTAACAACAGAATGATTTTGATACATCTTTTAACTAACCAAAAGTAACACCTTGACAATTTTAATGGACTAATTATACACTCCTGGTCATCTTGAAAAGTGCCCATTTGGGGTCTTTATGTCTTGACAACTGTAAGAGTCCTCAGCTGGAAAATTGGGATACAGACAGAGAATTTCAATGACTCTGACCTTGGGAAGCCGAGGGCTGAGATTTCCTTCTCACTGGGACCCAGGAGAAGCAGAGAGGCACCCCGCAAGGATCGGGGCAGCTGCCTCCAGAGCTACACCTGAGCTCTGCTCTACTTTTTTCTGGAGCCATCAGTGGGTGCCCAGCGAAAGGCACCAGGAGTCAGAGGCTGTGAGCTCTATGAGCATGCACACTCCTCTCCTTCCCTCTCCTCTCCCCTCTTCTCCTCTCCTTTCCTGTCTTTGCCTTTTCAAAGATAGACAAATGGACAGTCCACCTTCCAAACATACTCGGGGTGTTGGTTTTCTAACATGTTCCCTGGATGCATTCAGTGTCAGATGATTCACAATTCACATTTTGCTAAATTCTTAGATACATCAAGCAATAACACTCCCATTGTACAGATGCAAATCTGGGGGACTGGAAGAAACAAAACATACAGCCCAAGGACAGCTCCTTCAGACTCCTGCAGCTTCCTAGGAGGGCATCTCATGCTTTCCTGTCTTCTTCCAGCCATGATGGAACAGGAGCAAGCTCTGCTGAGGATGGGGCCCAGGGCACTCCTGCATCACAGGTCTCTGGATTCTAGAATCTGGACACAACTGGGGGAATGTCCAGGATCAACTTGGGCTTCCACCTGCAGCAATTCCTCAAGCCAAGGAATCTAGCAGGTGTCTGAGGTGGATCTGGGTCTCACCATGGTTGTCTCTCAAGCTCCGTGTGCTGTAAAAGGGGCTAGACCAGGGGTGGCCTGGGCCAGGATGCTCCTTTCTGGGAGGAAAGGGACAGCATGAGCCAAGAGGGTCTCGCAGGTGGGAGATCTGGACTGTGCTCCACCAACCCCTACAGGATGCTCTAGAGGAGTAGGTGTTTCTCTTCTCAAAAGTTTAGCATTTCCTAGAAAAGAATCAGCCACCAATCAGATGCCCTTGGATCATGTCTAAGATGAAGCAATGCTAACCTCAGAAGGTCATTTTGAGAGATAAACTGAAACACGTACGCTAGGCATCTGGCCCAGGATCTGAATCATAATAAATAAGTAATGACACCGTTTTTCTTCCTTCCTTCAGAAACTAACCACCTTTCCAAAAGCCCCCAGAAGGAACACCAGCCTGCTTTGACCTTGCCTTATGGCCTGTGAGCTCCAGAACTGTTAGACAAATGTGTGTTCTTTCAAGGCATTGAGTCTGTGGTCATTGTCACCGCAGCCATCACATTCCCAAAGGAAGGACAATGTCCAGCCGTGGCTCCTCTGAGGCCAGTGGTGTGGCGCTGACAGCTGCCTGGGGATAGCTCAAGCCTTTGCCTCAGCTAGGACATCCAGAGGACAGAAACAGTGGCATAGACCCAGAAAGACAGGGATCGACTAGAGGCCTGGCTCACATGGTCATGGAGGCTGAGAAGACCCAGGAGGAGCTGTGGAATCTTGGGAAGCCGCAGGTGTGGGACAGGCACGGCCCCCTGCTCTGGGGACCCTAGAGGTGATGGTTTCACTCTCAACCCAAGGCTGCAAGCTTGAGAAGCAGGACACACCTAAGAGTCCAGAGGCCAGGGAAGGTGGAGTTCTGATGTCCAAGAGCAGAAGTGAGTTCCAGCTCCAGAAGGGGGGGGTGCAGAGAGCAGCCACCTTTCCTCTGCCCTCTCCTTATACCTGGGCCTGCTGACCGGATGATGTCCACCCACAATGGTCAGCATGAGCCTCCCTTAGTCCACAGATTCAAATGCCAGGCTCTCGTCTGTCCTGGAAATGCCCACCCTGGTACACTAGGGAAAAAATGCTTTACCTCCAATAACCAGAGCAGCTGACACCTGAAATAACCACCTCACCTGGCCAGTCCTCACCTGGACTTGCAGTATCTGAGCAGCAAGGCACCTCCCTTAGAGAAAGTCCATGCCTCCGGTGGATGGGATGCGGGGTCCAGGGTGGCAGGCAGTAATCACATCACCAGCAGGTCCTAGTTACGCGCTTCATTGTTCTGGACGCCAGGAAGGACACTTTAAAAAGAGGCCCAATTCTGTGAACCCATGCAAGGCATGAGGTTAGAAATAAGCAAATAGAAAGTTCTAGAAAGAGGTCCTCCCTCCTGCAGCCTTTCAGTTTTATCTGATGGGACATCTCTATCACTTTCAGCTTCATCATGACATGTGACTGGCATCCAAACACACGAATCGTTATCCACATGCCACTTACAGGCTGTAATTCAGATAAGGCACTGCTCTGAGTCCCAGTGTCCCTATCTGTCAAAAGGGCCATGGAAGTCCCCGCTTGGAAGGGGTATTTGGAGGATCTGTCTGAGGACAACTGCCACATCTACACAGTAAGCTGCTCCAGGCTCCAGAGATCCCTGTCCTGGATTTCCATCACGTGGGAACCTCACCCAGAACGGGAGATGTGGGGCCCTGGCCTTGGAGAGAGAGTGTTGCTTGATGTGGCCTTGACCTCTACCCACGAGCCAGACAGCCATTCAGCCAGCAGACTCAGTTTTCCTCACTGAATAAAGGGGTCATTGTTCCTGTGCTGCCGAACCAGAAACACCCTGGCTCTCGCTGAACTGGAGCCACTAATCAGAACCAGGCTCGGGGTGGCAGGAGGTGGACGGACATGGTTGTCTTAACTTGAAAGGAACATTTTAAGTGCACATTGGCCAAGCTAAAGAGAAAACTTCAGATCCCTTCCCCAGCACCCTCTTCCCCAAGCTCCATCACCACCACCTTTACCCTTCATTTCATTTTTTTATTTGTAGCCTACAGAACCCCTGACCCGTGGCTGCCATACTGAGTGTCATTGGACCTCAGGCTCAAGCTACCACGTGGCTTGGACTGTGCGCCAGAGATGCTGGCCTTGGGAGCTGGGGCTGGCGCTCTTGGGTTTGCCAGAGGCTGCCAGCCCTTGCTGCCAGCCTGGTGGGTTGGCCCTTCCCTCTGGGCGTCCTCTGTATGGATCTGGAGGAAAATGGACCAAAGTAGGAATATCACAGCTGATGGGGCTCACAACACACCCAGTGTCATTGTCCCTGCCCTGCTGACCCCCTTCCTGTCCACCCAGGAGCTTGCTCACCTCCTGTCTCACTGTAGCCATCACTATTGACAGATGGTAGCAGTGGACTCAGTCTATGGCAGCGGCTTGGTGGGTCCAGCTGAGCTGATGCGGGGGCGGGGGAGGGGGGTGGGTGCTGCGAGGCCTGCTGTGGCCAAGGTGAGAGTTGGGACCTGCTGTAAACCAAGACCTAAAAGGACCCCCTGGGGACGAAACACAGAGGGAGCCTGATCACCCCAAATGAGGACCTGTAGGCCAGCTGGCCCAGACTCACTAGTAGGCAAGGCCAGGCTGGCCAGAACTGCCCAGGCTACCAGCCACACAGCTGGGCTGCACACTGCCGTCAGGTCAAGAAGCTCTGGGGGCCTTTGTCACACAGTACTTCCAGCTGACACTCTCGGTCTACAGAGTTCACACAACTGACCCAACTGGCCATCTGTCTCCTCTACTGCGGTACTTGCTGGGACCCTCTCTCTGCAGGCTCACCTGACTCTCCAGTCAGACTGCAAGTCTGTCGGGAGCATGCCCATCGTCATAGGGGGAACTCCGGGGTCTCGCACGGTGGTGGGCATGTTCAGTAAATGCTTGTCCAGTCAGGTCTGGTCTTGAGCCCCCACTCTTCCAGCAATGCTTTGTGACTTCTCTCTGCACCACTAACTTCTCTGGGCCTTGGTTCCCCCGGGTCTGAATCAGGGCTAAACATAACCGCATCGTCACTGGAGGGCTGAAGGAGGTCGTGAGTGCAGCTCACCCGGGATGGAGCCGGGAGCACTGAGCAGGAGCCATGGGCGTGTTCAACATGCCGTCAGGATGCTGTCCGTGGGCTGCTGCTGCCCGGCTCTCTCCACAGCACCTTCAGCCACAGTGCGTGGGCAGAGGCTTTTCTTCTGACACTGGGACTCTTGCGAGCCTTGGAAGCCCGGGGCATGTCCGTGCCACCCCCATTTGATGTTCAATCCACAAAGGAAAAGTTCCAAGTTACCAAGGGAGGGGAGTGGAGAGGAAAGGGAGCGTCGTGCACCCGGCACCCACTCACCATGCAGGGGCCCTGGCAGGCACGGAGGGTAGAGGAAGAAGGACACCAGCATCGTGAAGGGGCTGGGGTCGCGTGACTGGAGCCAAGAATGAGAGAGGACCTTCTAGAGCTGAGGCAGGGGAATCAAGCAGAGGCAGACCACATAGGCCAGGAATATTAGGGTCACGCAGGCCACGTTCAATATTTGTTTGTCCTTTGTCCTTATAGCTGTGGAAAGCTAGGGATAGGCTTGAGAAGATAGGTTCTAGTCCAGGTTTAGATCTGGCTTACACGGCAGAATCAGTGGCCGGACTTCTAGGGAAAATGTGCCATTAGGTCTCCTGTTACTTACGTGGCCCTGCGTTCTTGGAGGCCATGCTAGCCGGTGGTCACGCGCCCACGAATGACCCACAGAGTCCAAAGCATCTGTAAATTAGGAACAACACCAGGACAAAGGCTGCTGCCCTGGGCTCCTGTCTGTGAGCCATTGTACTAGACCCTTTAAATGTGTCGTCACCCCCCCCCCCAGAGGGTGCTGTGTGGGCCACACCCTGGGCTGAGAGCTAGCTCTGACGGCCACCCCAGAGGGCTCCACCGTGTTACCCTTGTTCCATAGCAAGGCCACGGTTTGCAGAGCCAAGACCTGGACCTTGGAACTGATGTCCCGAGCCACTAGGAGCAGCTCCTGAGCCAAAGAAAACACACCACTTCTACCTTGGAACGTAGGATTATGTGACACACGCACACAGGCCCCACGGCTGCTATGCAAAGAGATGGAGGTTTGAACCCAGAGAGATGGGGGGTCGACCAGTCTCTTAATCAAGTATGACAATGATCAACCCTATTGTGAGGGGAAAGAGCCTGAGAGGTGTCATTTGGGAAGGCATCCCTGAGCCCCGTGGCTCCCCAGGCTGCAATGGACAGCTTCCCAGTGGAAGGAGTAGAGGAGAGAAGAGCTCGTGGCCTGTCTCCCGGAGTCCTCCTGGAGGCCCCGAGGGAGCGTTACCACCTTCCAGCTGCAGGGGAGGCCTCTGATGGAGCCTGCCAGGCCGTGCTTTGATCAAGCTCCTGAACCCTCTCCTCGGCCCATCATGCGCTTTGTGAAATTCCGTTTTAGTGAACACCCTGCCAAGTCAGCTTACCAAGGCCCCCGCCTACACCTCAACCTCCGTATTTGACACCCTCCACATCTGATGGGCTCCTCATCCTCCACCCCCACAACCACTCTGTCAGGTCTGCTTAGCCAGAATCCCCTGACCCTGATCACCTCTCAGTCATTCTCCATTCGCTGACCCCCACTCTGCCCCTGGGCTATAAATTCCGAGCTTCCCGTGATGTATTCAGAATTGAGCCCAATCTCTGCCAGTCTGCAAAACGCAGTGTCCCTGTTACCTGTCACGATGGCTCTGGGTTGCCATGTTTTAACAAGCATCAGTGAATAATTTTTTCTTTAATATCTCACAGTTGCTAGAAGATCCAGCAGGGATGCTGACTGATTTCAGAACATTTCTTTATGTCTCTTCCTCCTCAAAAGGCCCAACAGGTCCATAACAGTTCTAGTAGGCCCTGGGTGTCTGCCCTTTGACCTAAAGCCCTGTACCCATTTTAGTGACTCAGCCCAGAGTCAGCCAGGAGGCTTCTGTTTCTGGACAGTCCTGGGGCTGCCTGGCTTCCATTTCTTGGAACCGGCCAAGTGGTGTCTTCCTGCCCAGGCTTGCCTGGGTCTCTCCCCTTATGACAGCTGGGCAATTTGGCCTACTTTGGAGGTGAACAACCCAACCGACCCCGAGATGGGAGGAAGTGATAAGCGTGGCCGCCTTCTCGGCCCAAGGCTTCCTCTTCTAGCGAGACCGAGGTTCTCACGGTGCCTCTGAGGGGGTGGCAGCCTGGGCGGGGCTTCTGTCCTTACAGTTTGTCACTAGAGGGGGAAGGGGGTCCCTCTCTATGGTTGAGTCCTAGATAATGGTGGCAGATAAGACAGAAAACCAGAAAGGCGACTCAGCTGGCTTCTTGGAGGGTCTTTGGTACTAGGGGGCTGCAGGAATTAACTAGGTCACTTCCCACAACATTGCACTTGACCTTGGAGGGTTGACATCCTGGCAGGAGGTCAAGGGCCTGAGCAGGACAACAAGGAGAGATCACCACTGCATAGCTCAGGTCCACCTAGTGCTGGGCTCCGGCTAAACACACTGGGGACAGTATTTCCATTCATCTTCACCACTGATCACAAAAGCAGGGTTTCTACTTTGGCTTGACTGCTTTTTAGGCTGGGGGATTTTTTGCTGTGGATACTGACCTGAGCTCTGTAGGTTGTGTAGCAGCATTTCTGGCTTCTACCCACGAGATGTCTCCCAGGGTGTCAACCAGACACGTTCCCTGGGAAGCAGGGTGGCTCCCAGTGGGGAACCCCCAGCTCTGAGTAGAGAACATCTGAGCTCATGGAGCACAAGGCTGGAAAGATTTGATTTCACTGCAGAGAGAAAACTCAAACCCAGGACATGTTGCTATTCTTGTTATTCTTTTCTTTGCTTTTCACACCACATACCGCTCAGGAAATCCTACCTCTCTGAGGTCACTGCCTCAACTGCAAATGACATCAGAGTCTCCTACCTTAAAGGAGATCTCAAAAATCAAATGCAGTGAAGGGTAATCAATGTGAAAGTGCAGAAGACAAGGTCGAGTGTGTGGTGGGTTCTTCCTTTGCATCAGAAATCTTATTTGGGGGAAATAAGTGTCCCTAAGAATGTAGTTCTCAGACTTATCCACACTTGAGAGCCACCTGGGCATCTCTGAGGATTCTAGAGGACTGGGCTCACACAAAGAGGCTTTAGTTTAATGGGCCTGGGGGCCTGTCCCCCTGGGTCTTACCAACCCTCTAGACAATTCCAGTGCTCAGCCAGGGTGAGGAGCTCAGAATTAGTTCTAGAAATAAAAGTGGTTCCAATATAAATTCTGAATATTTGCTCTTCCCTATGGGAAGGAGGAAGTCTCATGATCCAAGAGGGGAAAGTCTGCTTACCAGAGTCACCTTGGCTATGGTTTGAGTCCCCAACTCCCATGTGTCAAAGGCTTACTTCCTAGAGTGGGTGGAAGCTTTAAGGGGTTTTAGGTCTTGGGGGCTGCACCCTCGCAGGGCACTGAGGGACCCTCCGTTCTTCCTCTTGCTCTTTGCTTCCCACCCAGATGGTGAGTGGTTTGCCCCACATGTCCTCCCACTGTGAGTCACTGCTTCGCCACAGTTTCAAAGCACTGGGTCCAACAGCTGTGGACGGAGACCTCCGGATCTGTGAGTCCACGTCAGTCTTTTCTCTCCAACAGCTGATGGTCTTGGTTACTTGTTACAGCCACAGCAACAGGTGGACACGCTGCTGGTGAGAACGGTGGACACAGCAGATGCCGCAGGGGAGATAACGATGGAACTGAAACGTCATGGTTCCTCCCTCAGAACTGCCCAGGTTAATCCAGAACTTTCACCTTTCTGCACATGACTGCGTCGGGGAGCACTGAGGGGAATGGGAAGAGATTGAGACATGGGCCTAAGGACAGGTGGCATGTGAACTTGAATATCACACTTGTTCTTAAAATAGATGCATGAATAATTGTCCTGAGTGAGGACATGGCTCGGGTGTAGCCCAGAGGTGCATGTGATGGGAGCCTCGAACCCAGCGTGGGGGTGCTGAGGTGGTGGCACCTTTAGGGTTGGGGCAAGTGGGAGGTAGGGAGACTGCAGGACATACCACTCAGGAATGGATTCCTGCTGGCTCTCGAGTGGATCAGGTCTGTGGGAGAGGATGAGTCCCTCAGGATGCCATAGTGAACCCGCCTCTGCTCCAAGTCCCTCTTGACCCGTCCATTTTCCACTATCACACATGTCCACCTTTGTGATGCCACCCAGGCCCCACCAGAGCTGCTCATGGCCCCTGAACCTCTGGAACTTAGAGCCAATTACTCCTGATTTATTTTCATAGAGAAGCCAGCCTCAGATAAGTTGGTGCAGCCACACAAAGCTTACTTTCTGGTAAGTTCATCTCTTTTAATATTGATTTGCTTGTTTTGAGTTATTGCCCATCTAGAAAATACAGGAAGAAAGCTGCTGTTAGAACCAGCAACTGATACAGCCCACCTCAGACCCTCAGACTCCTGCCTCCTGCCCCTTCAGCCACGTGCCTGGGCACCTAATTGGAACATGCTAGAAAGATAGTGTGGCACCCTGCTGTCCTTGCTTGATCATAAAAGTCAGGTTTCTATATCATTAAATAATTACTGAAAATGTGATTTTGATGTCTATATAATGCTCTTTCCTATGTCTAGGTCTATCACTAGGTATTCCCCATGCCCCTTTGTGGAGATTCCCATCTGCATCAACAAATATTTTAAGCAGAGCTGAAAACTACCCCTGTGGGCACCTTTATGTACTTGACTTCCTTAGGTAAGTTCCAGAGGTGGAGATATCAGGACGCAGCAGGTATTAGTGACGTCTTGTGTCAGGATTAAGGATGGCTTCCTATAAAACGGATGAGCACATTTAGGTGCACCCTGTTGGTGTGAGGAGTTGAGTCATTTACCCTCAGCAACGTTGACTGATGTCATTCAAAAATTGACAATTGAACTGCTGAGCAATAATACTATCTAATTTTGTGTTTCACTTTTATCTGTTGGGTTATTAACAGATATAAATATTTTTCATATGCTCATTTGTTACCTGAACACCGTTTGTTGTGGGTTTCTGTGTGTGTGAGTGTTTTCTTTGCTTGGCTACTTACTGGAATTCTTCTCTCTGAATTTATAAGGTCTCTTTCTAGATTAAAGATCTTAATGTCTTATTTTTATGTCACAGGCATTATTTCCCAGGTTGTTTAGACCTTTTACATTTTAGAAGGTTTCCGACAATATTTATTATCTCTTTTCTTTCTGAGATTTAAGAGAAAAATATATTCCCAGGCAAAATTTGAAAAATAAACATAGAAATGTAAATTATGAAACAAAATATGTTTTGATTTCCACCAAAAAACTAATCAGTACTACATCTTGGTGCCGCTGCAGGTGATCACGGGGACCTGACTTGAAATTGGAACCACGTGTCGGGTAGTATATTGTAACCTGCTTTGTGAGAATTTTCTGGTTCACTCAATGGTCTTCGGAGATGTGATATTTAATAGCTATAAATACTTCTATTACAGGGATGCAATATATCGTATTATTTTAAAGAGTTGCCAGTCATCAGAAATCCTTGATGCTTCAAATGTTACTGAGAATAAACGCTGTACACTGTGACTGCCCTTTCCATGTACAGAGTTCATCTAATTCTTAGCTCCTTTGAACGTGGTCCTAGAAGTGGAACTGTGAGGTCCAAGGATAGGATAGGATCAAGACTTGTGATTAGAAAGGACTCAATTGACCTTAAGGAAGTTTGGGCCAAATTGCCCTCTTACCAGGAGGGTGCCTGAGCAGGAATACCTGGAGAACTCTGCCACATCTGGGTCTCACAGGTGGGCGTGGCCTGCCCCTCTTCTCTTCAAGTTGAAATTCTGAACGTTTCTGAGATCAAAGCCATTTGAGATTGTGAAGCTGTCGCTGTTTCACCTGCTTATCTTTCTGCATCCATGAAGACCGGGGAGTCCTTCTAATTTGAACCACGCGTAGGTTGACATCTCTCCTCTGCACCACCATGTCCCTTCCTTAGTCACAGTTTTGTAATTTCCCTGCGGTGCTGTGCACAGTGACAGGGTAACCACTCCAGGGGGTCAGAGGGTAGCAGGAATGTCTGGAGCTATGGTCAGCAGAGACGACAGCATGAATCTTGTCCCCAGGCAGAGGGCACAGGGAGCCAACCAAGAGCACTGTTATTAAAGAGAAGGACACTGGGGTCTAAGACTGGAAATCATTCTAAAGATGAGAAGCCCGTGTGTGAGTACTATGATATAAGTTGGGGATCAGGACAGCATGTGGCCCACTGCCTGTTTATTTAAATAAAGTTTTATGGGAAAACAGCCATGCTCATCCCTAACAC